CAACCCCAACTATATATAGCTATATATCAGCCAAAACTATGTGATATATATAGGTTTTGAACAAAAGGGATGGTGATATTGATGGAAAATAACAATCTTTTTATTTTATTTTATTTTTGGCTGTATGGCTTTTTGTCATTTGTTCTACATTCGATGCATGCCTAATCTACATATAAAGTTGTTACCACTTAATTATATTTTATTCTTAATTAGTTGTTTCTCATTAATTGTTTGGACTTTGGAGTATGAGCACTTCAAAATGTGTTCTCAATTCTTGGCCTGTCTTGAATGTTGAGAGGATATTTGCATGGTTGCTTTGGGGTGGAAAAAGAATTAATTTTCTATTGGAAATCAAAGGAACATAAAATAGAATAGAACATTTCACTTATAAGAACAAATTTTCAAAATTTAGTTATTACACATATGGCTTAACTAATTAAATCCGAACCATTGGTATTGGTAATTTGAATTGTATTCTTGAAGCCGGAATGTGAAATTTTATGGACTATATGATACTGAGTGAAAGTGAAATTAGATGAGATGGTTTGAGTCTCTTCCAGCTTAACTAGTGGTCTCGTGTTCGAGCCCTGTGAATGCAGCAGTGTTAAAACTTTTGAGGGAGAGCTTTGCCGCCCTTGTGGTCCTACCCGACTTGATTCCGGATTAGTCGGTTCCTATGTGGATCTGGAAATCGGAAGGTCCCTGTACCAAAAAAAAAAAAAATTGGATCAATTGATTGAATTCCTGATCCTAACATGGATATCATAATGTGCAATTTGACGAAAAACTTCATAAACCCTATAAAACAGATTCATCATCATATATCTTATATATGGAATTTTATCTTTCAAAGTACGCCTTCTGATGGCAAAAATCTGGCATGACTAAGGCTTTCGATCTAGCCAGTCGCTTGTTTTAACAACCTCAGAAACTGGTCGGGCAAGTGTTGGAGCCCCGATGACAAAAATCGAGCATGACTCTAAGGCTTCCAAGATCATCGATCGCTTGTTTGAACAACCTCAGAGGCAGGGTTCAACAGCGAGACCGGGTTAACCTTCATAGCCCTCCCTTGGGGTAATCCAAGATTTAATCCTTGATAGTGTCACGGTCGAGGACCCCTTACAAACTTGGAGCTTTGGACTGCTCCTCGACCTGATCCAACGCAAAATTGAAGAACTGGATAGCAGTTAGAACAAGCTTATGCAGGAAGCTCAGTGATTTGCAGATGTCCTCGACGACCTGCTCCTCGTGAGCCAATACGAATGTACTCCCAACTTGAGCGGTGAGGAAGTATTGGCGGTCATTATGATGACCCGCATTTCCTGCGGCCTCTACTTCGAGCTCGAGGATGCTCGCCTTTTTCTCCCTCTCATTTTCTTTTTCCTTAAGCTCATCGACATGTTCCCGGGAGACCCCAATGAGCTGCTTTTTTAGGTCTAAGCAGTTTTTTGTCAGATGTTTATTCTCTTCCTTCACCTCTTTCACCTTTGCCTTTAGGTCGTCAGTGGAATGGGAGGAGCAGCTAAAGTTCTCGTTAAGCATAGGCATCAGGGCAGACAATAACTATGAAAAGGCATGGAGAGAAGATGTATACAAAACTAATTATGAAGTGAACTGATGGAGGTAGGAAGGAAAGTAAATTTGGGCAGTGGTTTTGGCGCCGTATTCAGAACGACCTCTGTGGTTGGACCCCCAGCATTAAGTTTCTTATGAAGGAAGACATTTTATGAAGTAAGAAGTGATGGTCGCCTCGTCTTTGTTAGTAGCCAAAGATTGGGCCATGTCGACCTCGATATGTGCTCGACATGAGGTCTCATTGAGCGCCCTCCAAAGAAAAGGTCGGCCTCGACCTCTTTTTGCCAATGGTTGTTAGCTTAGGGCGAGGAGGGGTAAACCCCTTAGGTGTGACGACCTGCTTTAGAGGGCCAAGCTCGGTAAGAATGCCTTTTGGTCGACTTCCATCAGAGGTGAAGGGGTCCTTACCTCTTGTTTATTGTGTTTCTGTGCTTATTTGTATGTGTTTTATGTGCGTTGTTGAGTCGATTCTAGGTTCGTTTTCTTGTTTAACCAGTCCATTTTAGTTGTTTTCATGTGCTTTTATGTTTTCCTTTTTGTTTTATGTTTTGACGTACTTTTCCGTGACTATTCGGTGTAATTTTCAGGTTTATCTAGAGGATGAAAGAAAAAGATTGAGCCAAATCCCGAGAAACGAACATTTTCAAGTGACTCCGAGCCATTTTTGAGAAGTCTCGACCTAATTTCGAGGAATACTGAGTTGTTTCTGAGCTATTCCCTATCAATATCAATTTCGATGTTTTCGAGCCTTTGACGATCGAGGACACCACCCGAGCCTCGCATCCTTGTCCGCGCGCGCGCGCCGCATTTCTATGGCCCGAGTACTTTGTGACCGCGGGGCAGCCAGAGACCTCGCGAGTGTCGCGGTGCCTAACACTTGCGACCACGTGACCTCGCGAGTGGTCATTTTTTAGAAGTCTAGCACGCAATAGAAGATTGGGTATTTAATTCTAAACCTCATTACTTCGATTTTACCTCGTTTGTACTTACGATGTTTTTCAAAGTAAATTTGGATGTCTGCTTGATGGAGGATGGAGAGTTTGGATTTTATTATTTTTATTGCTTGACTAAGTGATTGTAGGGATTAATTACTTGCTTATCTAGTTTAGAATTGAGACTTAATTAAATCTTAATCACTTAGAGTTAGAAGAATAGTATTAAATACCTAGGGCTTAGGGTTGCATATTTCTCTTAGTTGTTTGCATTTGGTTTCGCTGGCATAGAGACTCCGGTAGTGCTAATTTCCATATTCTCTCGTATATGTCAATGGAAATTCCAACATAAATTGTATATTTCAATGGAAATTCCTATGGTAAATAACTGTTGAAAAAATAGTCGTTGGAATCACTAAATTCCATCTAAAATTCCAATGAGAAATTCATTCCAGCAGAATATTATTGTTGGAAATTTCATTAGAATCATTCCAACGGAAGCTATATCATTCAAATATCCGTTGAAATTTTCATTAAAATATATTACCGTAAGAATTTTCGTTGAAATATAACAACTTTCTTTTGTAGTGTATTTACATGGCCATGCTGCATTTGTTGATTAATAAGAACAAGACATTTTTTTTTTTTTAATTAAAGTTTGTCACTTTTCTAAGAGGGAATTAACATGCCCGAACAAGACTGGGAACGACTCTCCAGTAGGACTTAACAAAGTCCAAGATTTCGGTGTATGACAAGAGCCTCCGTTGACAATTAATTCTCATTGTTAGACTTTATTTTCTTCGATATTTATGTACTTCTGCCTTATTATTTTGTTTTTCTACGCCAGTTTTTTATTTGTACTTAATTTTTTTTTTTTTTTTGTACAGGGATCTTCCGATTTCCGAATCCACATGGGAACCGACTAATCCAGAATCGAGCCAGTTTTTTTTTTATTTGTACTTAATTTCTTTGATTGTATCATGACTTAAATTCGGACAAAATTACCTCTTTTTTTCATCATTTTTTATCATTTTTGGTTTTTGTTTTATTTATTTATTTATTTTTTCAAATAAATTGGATTTTTCAAAAGTAGAGTAAGATTGACACTGAAAAACTCTTTAACCCACAAAGAATTTGTTAGAATTGGTTAGGCCTGGCCCAAAAACGTAGATAATTGGATAAATTTGCTAGATCATTGTCCCAGCCCAAAAGGCTGAAATTTAATGAGAAAATTACTTGTGGTACGATACAATTTTCTTTTATTTGTAAATTTACAAAACTAATTATTTATTTGCAATCTTACGAGGTAAGACATATAATGCAAAATTAATTGATTTGTTTACCCTACAATTACGGATCTATCTTACCTTGTAGGGTGAGTAGACAGATTTTTTAGGATAAAGTTGGTATCAGAAGCCTATCTCTTTATTTATTTTTAATACTTTCGATTTCTTCTATTTTGGGAAGAAGATTATTTCCTAGCAATATTCCGATTTTGTTGAATATGAAGATTTCCACATATTCAAAATTTGATCTCACCAATTGTTTTGCTCAAACACCAAAAAAATACAAATATAGACGGTATATCAACAACAAATATACTTATGAATTTGGAACATACATTTGCAACCGAACAACAATAAATAAAATCACGTATATTTCCGGTATATAAAGCATAGATAAACATGTTCTCAGTTGTACTTGTACATATACATACAATATACACTCGAGTTTCTCAAAATTCAAACCAATAACAGATGGGGACACACATATACATAATATATACACTCGTGTTTTTCGTTATTCAAACCAACGGGAGATCGAGACACACATATATTTAAAATATACATAAGATATACACTCGAGTTTCTCATAATTCAAACCAATTCCAGATCGGGACACACATATACAAAAAATGTACATAAAATATTCTCTCGTGTTTCTCGTTATTCAAACCAACGGCAGATCGAGACACACATATACCTAAAATATACATAAAATATACACTCGAGTTTTTCATAATTCCAACCAATGGCAGATCGGGGCACACATATACATAAAATATACATAAAATATACACTCGAATTTCTCGTGATTCCTATAAACTAGTAATAATCGTACAATAAACATTAAAATCTAAAAATTCTCATAAACCCCAACACAAAATTCTCACAAATTCACGATCAGCACATCAAAAATTCACGATTGCGGATAAAAAAAAATCACGATCGTTGAGCCACCAACAATTTTTCTATCTTTCATGACATAGTAAATCGGCGTCCTCTTGGCCGTATTCCAAACAAGCCGATCGAACGCACCTCGTTTGTGGGCAACACAATCGCTTTCACATTCTACCAAATAAAGTATTTGAAACTTCGTCTTCAACAATAATTTGAGGAGATTGATTTATATTAAATTTCCATGGGGAAATTGACGAGAGGATTGGTTGAAATGAGCATAGAAATCCTAGAAGTCGAGGAGCCAAAATAAAAAATGGGTTGTTGCTGCGGTTATCCGGTGGGATTAGGGCTCGATTTTTCCAATCGAGAGGCGATGATGAATGCAGTAGAACTCGTCGGTCGCTGCCGTTGGACCGAACCCCTGAATCGTCTAGGATCCGGTAACTGCGCCGCTCCCAGGTCCCGTTGGCGTCGGTTGCAAGAACGTCCTCAGCTAAAGTCGTCGGTCTCTGCATCGTTCTAGGGAGCCCTACCGCTAGAATAACCTACGAGAATAAAGAGATGAAATTGGGATGAATGGAGAGAGCTTAGAGACGAAGGAAGAGGAAAGAAATCTGGGGAAGAAGAAAAATGAAAGAGAGAGGAAAGAGAGAGGTGTTATGTTTATCTAGAATTTTGATTAGGTAGATATGCAAATAAGATTTTAATGTCGTAATCTTATAATTATTTAACATCAAGAGCCGTATGTATGTAAATTGGCCAAATTTAATGGTCCATTGCTTGACCTGCTACTCCGTAGATAGAGGAAATTATCCCCACACGTTCCACAATATTTTATTTGCACTTTTACAGTTCCATTAATTTTTTGGCGAATTTACAAAATTTATGAATTTTATATGAATTTTATTTCCAAACATAAGAGGAATTCTAAAAAATTCTTCAGCTTTAGGTTTTGGAACTTCTTCACCCACATCATCATGATATGCCCTGTATAGTTCTGGCCCCATGGTATTCGAAACCATTGTCTCTGTGGCGTGGTCTTTCGAACTGTGTTCAACTACTTTTCTTTTAGAATTCACGCTAGGAAAAGGCTCCCCATGTGCATCCCAATTACTGTAACCACTGAGAAATCCATAGTTGTAAAGATGGTACTTTATATCTTCTCGACCACATAATTTTGTATTGCGACAACGTCCACAAGGACACCTAGCCCGTTTTCTAGCTCCTATAGGTAAAAATACAAAATCAAAAAATTCGTTCACTCCTTTAATAAATTCATCTGAAAGTAAACCATCTTCGTCTCGTGGGTTCAACATCCAACTCCGATCAGAAGACATCCTGTTAATTAATGTTTACAAATAGATCATTAAATGTGAAAACATGCTAACTTATGAAATAATTAACCAATTTACATACTCAGACATAGCATTAACAAAATATGAAAACAAAATCAAGATGAAAAACATGTACTAATTATTAATTACAAGACATATTAAATTTATTTGTCAAACAAAGGAAACAAAAAAAGGAAAAGAAAAGAGGTGCATACATATTTGGACATTTTGTCGAACACTTTGCCTACAATTTCATCGGTTTTTGCTCACACTTTATCACAAAGTTACCAAAACCTTCTACATAATCATTTCTAAGATTCAAGGGCAAATCATCATATTCATATCAAATTCAAGAATCTAACTGATGCTTAAATAACATGAACAAATGACTCAAAGAGAAACCCACTTGAAATAAAAATTTACCTTGATAAACGAAGGGGGAAAGTTCCGACTAACGAATAATCCTTATTACGGGATTCCTCAGCTCCGAGTTCAAGTAGTATGCGGTGGTGGATATACCTCTCTCCAGTGCCCTCACTTAACCTTTGCTATAGTGTGTGTCCAGCTTTTACATTTCCTTATTTATGTTGTATATTAAAATTTGTTAGAGAAATTCACAAATCAGCTCAAGTCCATTATGTAGCCCAAGAGGATAAGG